ACCACAAAGAGACACACAACCACCACAAAGAGACACACAACCACCACAAAGAGACACAAAACCACCACAAAGAGGCACAAAACCACCACAAAGAGACACAAAACCACCACAACCAGCTGGTTTTCTGGGGGGACTGAGTCTCGTCTGTCGGAGCTCTTTGTTCTCTCTGTTTTTAGATGGTTCTGAATGAATGAACTTATCATCCACTGGGTTTGGTTCTGGCGGACCTGGATTCTGCCCCTCTGCCCCCAGACACCGTGAGGCTTGTGGACGGAGGCCACAGATGTTCTGGACAGCTGGAGGTGCGGTCCGGTCAGTCGTGGACTCCGGTGTGCGGGTCCCACTTCAGCTCCGGCGCGGCGGCGGTGGCCTGCCGGCAGCTCAGCTGTGGCTTCGCCAACACGTTCTACACGTTCTACAGTTCTGCTCGTCACAACTGCAGCTGGAGTCCAGAGTTCAGGTGTGAAGGCAACGAGACGAAGCTGCAGGACTGTAGCCGGGCTCCTCTGAACGCCTCCAAGGAAACGCTGCAGCACTGCAGTCCTGCTCACCTGGTCTGTACAGGTACGGCAGCAGGAGGCCGATCTGGTCACAGCTCTGATTCCTGCACTGAGCTCCACATCTTACAGCTTTGGTACTGTTCTCCAGATTCTGTTTCAGGTCGATCTGTGGCCGCCCGCTAACTGAGCTGCTAGCCGTTAGCTTAGCATTAGCCACAGTGAGAATACATACAATATGTGATAATAACAACACGTAGATGACAGAAAGATGAAGCGCAACACAGAAATCACAGTTTATAAAAACAAAAGAGGGAAAAGATATATATATATATATAAATTACGTAATAAACACTACATTGAATGGACTAAATAAGTGAATAAATAGAGAAATCAGTGAAATAATATCAGTTCTAAGACGAGTAAAAAACTAAAATATCTGATGATGAAATGTAGATAGAAGGACAATGAATAGAACAAGAAAATAAAAAAAATGAACAGATTAAAACGAGTAAACAGGTGAATAAATAGAGAAATAATGAATAAAACTGGTTGTAAGAAGAGTACTGAATAAATAAAATCCATCCAGTTGGTGAAAAGCTGGATTCTTGCTTTGTGTCCTCAGAGCGTCCTCGGAGGCCCTCCATCAGCGTCCTCAGCCGGCTGGAGGTCTACGGGGACAGCGTGGAGGTTCTAAAGGGGCATCGATTCGCCGTCTCCTGCTCCTTCTCTTCCTCCTACAGGGTTCTCTCCATGCGCCTGACGACCGCCTCGGTCCGGCTGACGCAGCGCCCCGTGGACGGCGTCGCCATCTTCCTGTTTCCTGCCGCGGACGAGGCCCACGCGGGGAACTACACCTGCGACTACAACTACGAATCCAGTCCGGACGTCTTCTCCGAGCCAGAGAGCCTCACCCTGCGTGTGAAAGGTACAGCAGGTGTGGTCACCTCTGCTCCCAGGGCTCCTGCAGCACCAACAAACATCTCCTCAACCGAGTCCAAACCCCGAAACTCAGGTTTCATTCTGGGGAAGAGGAGGAAGTCTGAGGAAGTCACATGTTCAATTATTGGCCTCTGAAAATGGGAAAACGTTCTTCATGTAAACCAGATGTTCGAAGAGCTGACCTGACTCTATTTGGCCTTTTTCTTTTTACATTTTGGACCATTTTAAGTTGTTTTGAGTACTTTCTGGTACATTTAGGCGATTTTAAACCATTTCTGAATCATGCGGGACAGATTCTGTGTGATTTCAGATGAAGTCAGTGTCATTTTGGGCAATTATTTAATTGCTTTGGACAAATTTTGAATCATTTTGGAGCATTTCATTTTTCCTTTGACATTGGGGACAAGTTTCAGGTTATTTCGGACATAAAGCAAATAGACATGATGGATCCATGTTTCCTGTTACAAATACAGTCTTTGGTCACAACTGTTGCTGAACATGGTTCCAGTTTTTGGATATTTTGACAGAATGCAGATATGAGTCCATTTGCAGCGCTTCAGTCACGTGTTTGTCAGTGTCGACAAATTTCAAGTTATTTTAGACACAGACAGGAAACATGGATGTGTCCATGTTTCCTAGGAAGGTTTCAGTTTTTGGCCATTTGGACTAAACGTTGACGCGGATCGTTGGTCGGAACCAGACACTGGTGTTCATATGAGCCTATACGTTATACGTGTTACAAGCTGCTTCCTGTTGGTTCAGGTTTTGTTTTTTTGTTTTGCAGATTAAACAACATATAACTGGAATGGAAACGACTCAGATTGTCCAAATGGACTCATATCTGCATGTTGTCATGGCAACACATCTGAAAACCAGAACCTTGTCTGGTCCAACTTCACCACATCAGGTTCTGCTGATGTTAGAGCCTCAACAGTTGGTGAAATGTGACCAGAGACTGGATTCTAGTAGAACCATGGATCCATCCATAGACAGACACTGACAGGACCTTTCTGGATCAGCACCAGCCTCATTTGTCTGTGTCTAATATTACTTGGTGAAACAAATTTGCCAAAGAAGCTGCAATATTTATCAAAGACAACTCAGAACTTGTCCAAATGGACTCATAGTGACATTCTGAACTGTTAGAACAGCAAACAGAGATCCTTGTCCGACCATAATTGACACACATCAGGTTCTGCTGATGTTTGAGCCTCAACAGTTGGTAGAAAGACTCCTGGAAACCATTTGATCTCCAAAACGACTAAACAAAAATTATCCAAATTGAGTCAAATGTGGTTGAAATGGTAGAAAATCTGTCCAAAGGGATTCAAAGTTAGTTTAAAATGGCTTCAAATGTGTCCTGAACTGATCAAAATGTGTCCAAAATAACTTAGTCTGGTCTCAAAAATGGTCCAAAAATGGTCCACGTGGACTCACATCGGCATTTAGTCTGAACATGTAGAACCAGAACCTTGTCTGGTCCAACTTCACCACATCAGGTTCTGCTGATGTTAGAGCCTCAACAGGTGGTGAGATGTGACCAGAGACTGGGTTCTAGATCCATCCATAGACAGACACTGACAGGACCTTTCTGGATCAGCACCAGCCTGGTTGGACATTCAGAACTCTTTTTCTCCATTTTAAGAGTCAATAACTAATAATGTGTTGCTACAACAGGTCAGCTCAGCCTGCTCATGCTTGTGTTCCCGCCGGTTCCCTGCAGAGCTCCGGGACCTGCGGCTGGTCGGGTCAGGACTCCGCTGTGCTGGGCGGCTGGAGCTGGGCTTCACGTCGGGCTGGAGGCCGCTGAGCTCCCTGAAGTCCTGGAGCCTGAAGGAGGCGTCGGTGGTCTGCAGGCAGCTCGGCTGTGGTTCTGCCGCTTCCACCCGTCAGGTCGGACTCTCGGACCAGCTCCAGCCCACCTGGAGGTTCTTCTCCGACTGCGACGGCTCTGAGCGGGCTCTGATGGACTGTGGAGCCGTGAGCAGGTTTCTGTCGGCCGCCGCCACCGAGGTGGTCTGCTCTGGTCAGGACTCCCAGAACCCGGTTCTACCGACACGTTTAATCATTTAGTGTTCTGCTGAGTTTTGTTAAATCCCCTAAATGAGCGAGACACGGCATTTCTGCTGCATTTAGATCAAACCAGAATCATTCTTCAGATGTCTGCTGTCTGCACTCTTCTAAACAGTAATTTGTTCTTTCACCATCAAACTAAACTTTTCCAGTAAAATCCCACAAAACTAATGATAAATGTTGACAAGTTAAAACAGAAAAAGGCCGAAACTCTAAACAATGCACACATTAAAAATAATAGCTTCATTCTTTAACACTGTGTGACCACAAAATGACTTTTTACTGGTTTTAAATCAGCTGAAAGTATCTGCTGTTGTTCTACTGTGTTGACAGCTTTGGAACGTCGCAGGGTTCCACCATTTTTAATCGTTTTTCTTTTTGCCAGATTTTCAGTTTTTACGTGATTTTTTGTGATTATTTTACGTTTAGCTGCTGATGAGATTTTATTCACTGTTTGAAGCTTCTGTCGCACAAAACCGGTCAGGTAACGTTCCACCTGTTCTCTGTTCTC